ATTTATAATGTAAGGTTGGTATAGTGAAGTGGTTGTCTTGTTTGTATATTGCTTTTTTTTTAAGTATCTTTTATTTACGTACTATGTTTAATTTTGCTTAAATATGTGATTTCATTCAAAATGCCATAAAGTTTGAAATGCTATAATGTATCTAAAATATGTTCTATCTTGTTGCATTATATTTCCGTTTAATTTTGAATTCTCCATCTTAATGTGTCTTCATTGGCTAAGCTTGTATCAACAACTCCTCATGTCTTATTTTCTTCTCTTTCCTTTTTCTTTGTAACATTTGGATATACTCCTCCCGTTATTTTTCTTTTTTCTTTTCTTTTCCTTCTCTCTGTAGTAGGGTTGATTTCTTATGCCTTTCTTATCTTTCCTCTCTCTATTTCTTTTTATTGATTTCTTATTCTCTTCTTTTTTTTCTACTTTAATCTGCTTTTTATTTGTTTCTTTGCCTCCTATGGAAGATTTTCAAAAATGTAAAAAGAAATGATGTTTCATAAATTGTGTTTTTAAATAAAATCGTTTATTACCACCAATGTTAACCACCTGATGAGATGTCTAAATTAGACATTGAAACAAATATGTATTTTTGTTGTGGCAACTTGTATGTTCCAATGTAACAGTTTATAATATATATATATATGTGTGTGTGTGTGTGTGTGTGTGTGTGTGTGTGTGTGTGTGTGTGTGTGGAATAGTGATATATAATTTTTTTTATATATTAAGAACAATTTTAGGGGAAGAAGTATGACAAAATGGAAAAAGTTTTCATGTGACACATTTTGTCTTTTACTAGATCTTGTAGATAAACAAAGTCAAACACAATAGAATTTACATACAAAATAGAAAAAAAACAATACTTACTTTACCTTTCTTAGACATCATGTTACACTGAGATGACAGCAGCCTAAAACTTAGTGTCCACTGAAAATCAACCAATAAAAATGACCTAATAAAATTCTATTCCCATCATGACAACAAAATAAAATCCAGAATGATCATTGGATTCTATTTAAGAGCACTCAGAATTTGCAGCCCTCAATATTTACATGAAGAGGAGAAATATATTGAAAATACATACAAGACCCTTCAATACCCTATTTCATATTCAATGTGAAAAAAAAGCTCATAAAATATTTCAAAATAGAAGAGCTGTCCTTCTTGACAAACCCAACGAATAAAAAAATAAATTATTCTACCCACTAACTCTATCACAACTAAAACCAAAAAGAATTTATCTAAACTCAACATAAAATTTGTCACAATTACATTTAAAACAATCAGACTTAATCAATAAAATTCAAAACAAGCCAAAACTTGAAAGAGAAATTTACTCTATAATGTACAGAATGTATACATTGTAGAAACCTCAAGAAGTTTAAACAAAAAACTATATGAACACTAAAAGGACATTTTAAAAAACAACACACAAAAAACATTGGTTGTTTACCATAACAAAATTGGCCACAATTTCGATATGAAAAATGCTAATTTGATTAAAAGAGAAAATAATCCATGAAGATGAAAATGTCTGGAAAGTGCCTTAATCACTAGTTCAGCCATGGTAAATTTGCATCCAGGGTCTTCTTACAATATATCACAATTCTTGGTAGATTTTCTGTTGTCACAATGTGGGATAGTTAGAGACAAAGATAGAAAGAAGAAGAATACAGATGAATTTGGCTAGATTGAAAAAAATATTCTTTCAAAAAAATATATTTTGAAACTGCCAGCATCTCTCATTTTGTGTGCATGTGAAGATGTGACAACATTAACAAAGCCCAGTCAAATGAAATTCCAACAGATGAAACATGTCACAAAAACTTGTCCAATTTGTCATACTATATATATATATATATATATATATATATATATATATATATATAAAACTAAACACTTTCTCTGCCCATGGTAGGATGCACAACTTCAAAGAATTTCTGTTACTGTGCATTTTCATGGAACAATACATCCTGAAGAATTCCATAATTTTCAACAACACATGCCTGAATAATGACATGGTGCCAATATATATATATATATATATATATATATATATATATATATACATACAAGCAATTTCAATATGACAATATTTATTATTGTAAATGTTATTTTATTTGATATACTTGCTTGAATAGATACAGTAAAATGAACATCTACCAGCCTAGACCATCAAAAGTCTTATTAAAAAAAATGCACTACTTGGCAGAAATTAAATTTGCATTCCCATGTTTCATGGAAACCACTTTATATAAGAATGCTTTGCCATTAGGCTACAGAGGTCTTTTCAGCAAGGCAAGGCTCACATTTTTCTTTTGCTTTTTCTTTAATCATTTGACACTTATCAAGGCAATAAAGCCACTAAGATGTAGGGTTCCTGAGTGTGAGACAATATAAGAAAAAGGAAATATTTTTAAGGAGAGAGAACACTAAATGAACAGGAATTAAGACAGAAGATAACAATTTACATTGCATTTAAATTTTTAAAAATCAAAGTTGTCTGGAAAGCAAGAACACAGAAAAGATTTCTACAGGTGAGAATTTCAAGAGAAGAAACTGTTACAGTTAAATCTCGTTATTTCAACTGTAAAGTGATGAGACCTAGCTGCCAATCTTATGAAAATATTTATAGAAAAGGCACAGGGAAGATATATTGCAATGGTGGAAAAGTGACTGAAGCTGAGATGCCAGGTCAGAACTAATAACATTGCAAATATTATTATATAAGAAATGCACATCTCTAGCTGGGTCTTTTCAGTATCTGCTAAGTTATATTTTCATACACAAAATTGAAACAAAGTAATTTAAGCAATTCATAATAATGCAGGTTCAATTCTTACTGAAAGACATGTTATTTTTAATAAGATTTTTGATGGTCTCAACCAGTTGATGTTAATTTTCACTGTATAGTCAGATCAAAAAAAAATACATATGTGTATATAAAAACATATATATATATGTGTATATAAAAACAGAATTGATGCAAAATCTAGACACTTAGTGTACCCAAGAAAATAAACACAATGGATCATTCCCCACACATGCACAATGATAATGTTTACATTTGGAAATTGAGATAAGAATGATTAATTTGTCTGAAGCTTAGGTTATCTTAATCTGATACAAGGCCACAAATATGAAGAACCCAGTGAGAACTGAATTTACTATATAGTTGTACTGTTCTTTGACGCTAGCTTGTTAACCATAACTCCATGGATAAATTCAAATTATGAAATGGACAAAGTCCGACAATTATTTTAAGACATTTTTATGTTTATACATTCTTTTTGATATACCCAAATATTTAAGTAAATGCTCTGTTTATAATAAACAGTATTAACAACATTTACTGGCCTGAATGTCCAAGAAATTGTCATAGAAAAAATGGGTCCTCCGACAGGAATCAAACCTGTATCCTAATACGGAACTGTCATATAGCCTGACGTGCTTTTACTGATTTTGCCACAGAGGAGCAGATATGGAAAATTGTAGTTTAAAAACAGTAAAATTGACCTTGTTAACCGAACGCTTCTCTGTGACTCAATCGGTTAAAGCACGTCAGGCTATATGACAGTTCTGTATAGGATACAGGTTCGATTCCTGTCGGAGGATGCATATTTTCTATGACAATTTCTCGGACATTCAAGCCGGTAAATGTTGTTAATACTGTTTATTATAAACAGATCATTTACCTAAATATTTGTATCTATAAAAAAGAATGTATAAACATAAAAATGTCTTAAAATAAATCCAAATGCATATGATTACATAATTGGTAATAGTTACATAATAGTTATTGGTATAGAAAATGGTATTGGAAAAATGAGTTCAAATTATGGCTTAGTCTGTTGCATTAACTTTTTCATATACCTATGAGAAAAGCCTGAATCCATCTCTCTTAACCGCCCCCTTGATATGTATAATGGATAGCAGCTCAGAAATAGAATTTGGAGAGCTGATTTCAAATTCTAATCGAGTTTAATTCAATTATATGTAAATACCATTGGGAAAAGTATGAATCCATTTCTCCCCCCTTAGCTATGGGTTAAACAGTAGCTTAGATGCTGCTCTTAACACTTGGTTGGAAACCAATCTAGGAAAAGGACAACTCTGAATTAAAAAATATTTGGTCTTGAGGCTAACAACCTCATCCCCCATAAAAATCTACTTGCTACAGAAACTACAGTGGTAATGCCTAGTGTGTTGAGAGCTTGGCCCTTTACTTCACACTGGAGGTTAGTAGACTTGAGTGAGTGTGAGTGAGTGAGTAGCTTCCTTCCAACAGCTATGGATTAAACAGCCAATCAAACTTGGGTGGGAATTAGTCTCAGACGAGCACTCTGAATTCCAAATGATGGAAAAGGCAATGGTAAACCACTCCACTATCTTTCCCAAGAAGTCATGGCAATTTACAGATAATAAAGAAAAGGAAGATGTGGGGAGCCATGATTGCATATGTCTTTAATGGCATTAAAAAATGTGGAACTCCTATATACAATCTATTGCCAAATAAGCAGGAAAAATGGACAGTTCATTGTACTGCTCCAGTAAATATTTGACTTCCACTACTGTACTGTATCTTTAAAAAAGCCAGACCAAATCAAAAATGGGGTATTGCTGCCATATCTGGGTTGGAGCTGCCTAGTATTCACTTGCCTGTCTTGATAGAATTCAAAAACGTTTGCACAGCCTTGTGGGTGATTAATTATTTTCTACCAAACAACCCCTTTCCCACAGATAAAACATTGCAAGCCCTCATTACTCTATTGCAATTTCCATGGCAGGTCTTCTGATGGGCTATATCCCTTAGTTCCACCACCCTTGACCTTTGCAACTGGGACCCACCATGCTGCGTACACAAAGATGAATCATCCCCATTCCCTTCATATTCTTTTAGTAAGGAGGAAGTTCCACTTGGATAAATTCTTTCCAAGAATCACTACTTTGTGAAACAGACTCCTGGCAAAATGTTTTCCTAATCACTACAGACTCCATGGTCATATCACATTGAAACACCAGTTCTCATACCAAAGTTAAGCAATGTCAAGCTTGGTCAGTACCAAGATGGGTGACCACTTGAGAATATCAGGTGCTGTAAAATTAGATGTGTGGTTGATGTAATGGATAGCATATCGGAATTGGAAATTGGAAAGCTGAGTTCCAATTCCAGTCGAGTTCGTTATATTCACTTATATGCAAATACCTCTGCGAAAGGTCTGAACCAACCTCCTCCCTCCTAGCTATGGGTTAATTAGTAGGATTTGTATCAGTAAATCATTATTATCTCCAAAAGAAAATTCTGACAATCTAAAAATATTTTCTGGCTTTAAATAACCTGCAAAAGGTTGATAAGCCATAAAAAATCAAATCAATCCTGGTTACTACTGGTTGACCTCTTCAAGTCTAAAGTTAACCATTATTTTTCCTACATAACCTCATGAACTTCACTTCTTACATTTTCTTATACTCATACAAAACCAACAGTAACACTCTAGCTTGAGTGGCTACTGAGCTTTAAATTGGATGAATATTAGTAAAAAAAAGTTTAACTCATTATCTTAATCATCATTATCCTACTAATAAAAAATCAATAATTCATGTAATAAAATAGATATTTTTCAGACCATATGAAATTTATCATAAGGTCTTCAGAATCACAATACACCCTGTGAAGATTGAACTTACAAGCAATAAATGATATACAAGACTAAATGCTAAATATTGCTTCACTAGCTGACAAATAATTTCATGAAAAATTTCTTTGGTCAGGAGTTATTGATGAAATATTTTTCAGATATAATGTCACACATTGACAGGTTCAGTAACCACTTATGCTGCTTGGAAAATAGTGTAACTTAATTTTCCTGCTTTATTAACAAAATCTAGTTCTAAATATTTTCATGAGGTGGTGATATTTATGCCTATTGCTAGTTAATGTGACTTAGTCAGCGCCTAATAAATAACATTCTGGCATTTAAAATGGCAGCAGCACTGCACCCATGAAGGAATGTTGTACTTGTTTCTGAAGAACTTTGATATTTTGCCAGTTCTAGGTTATCTTACTCTGGCAAAGATTGTGATTCGAAACTATTGTAGTGATCAGATATCATCAAAATGTGAGTGCATTTTCAATAATGAAAACAAAAATATGCTATATCTAGCTTTTAAAAATTTACCAAAAATCAGGGAATTATCCAATTTAAATGAAATTTTCAGTATTTATTTATTAATAAATAAAATTTATATTCAATAGGTCATTATTTTAGAAAACTTTGTGGAAATAGTTTTGGGGAGCAGGGATAAGTTTCATCCCTCCTTTTTGATAGATCATGAACACTTTTAAATTTTGGGGGTGGAGAAAAAAAATTGTTATTTCAGTAAAAACTTATGAAGTATCAACTGTGAACCAACTGAAAATTCATCCCAAACCTTATAAAAAATAATTCAATAAAACTCAAATAATATTTCTTGTTGAGAGGTGGTGCTTGTATAATTTAATAAAACATATGCTTCCAGATTGGACAGGAAAAATCTATACTGAATATTTATTTTTAAAAAAACTTCTTTTTTTTTGTCACTGTGATTCATTCAGTTGCTGTATGTAATAAGAGATTTATTTTATTTTATTAAAGATGTACTTGAATAATTTCAAAAATATTAAGTTTAATGCCATTTTTGAATGTGAACATTTTTGTGAAGAATTTTATTTATTTGTTTAATTTTACAACTGTGAGATTATTTTTTGTATGGAAGATCAAAAAAGAAATAATTCAATATCTATGTGCATATAGCTGGCCACTCATATTTGTGGATATCCATCTACTAGGATGGTAAGCCAATCCCTATTGCAGACGCTTGCTCAGGGGTATTTGTGTTTATTCAACAATCACAGAGCCCACCTGTGGTTTATACTGCAACTATGACAAGCAGACCTTAGTTACAGTTTCTGGGAAAGAGCGTGTTATCTAGCAGGATCAACAATTTGAACAAGGCCAACACACTCAGGCCCTTGACTTGTGACTTTATGCTAGCACAGCTATTGACAGCACCCAAGGGTTCCATCTACCCAATTTCACTCACAAGGCTTGGGTCAACCTGTGGTATGGTTTTTCAGGCACTTTCTAAAGGTGCTGCATGCTGGAATCAATCTCTCCAGTCCAATAACATTAGGAAGTCAGCTTCCTGACAAATAGACCATGGTGAGATTCGAACCTGGGTCACATGGTCAGAATGTGAATTTTCTAACTACTTGGCCACATGTCCATATCAACAATCAATTAACAGTATGAATTTAATAAGTCTTTATCAATCTTTCCCTTTTTTTAGCACTTCCTTTAGTTTAATAAATTTTAAAATCAGAATGATTTTAAAAAAAGACCTCATTGGGTGCAATTAAATATTTTATGACATCAAACAGTTATAATAATAAAATATATATGAATATAAAATATATATAATAAAATAATATAATATAATACAATAATAATATAATAATATAATATAATAATATAATATAATATAATAATATAATATAATATAATATTATAATATAATATAATATAATAATAATAATATAATATAATATAATAATATAATATAATATAATATTATAATATAATATAATATAATATTATAATATAATATAATATAATAATATAATATAATATAATAATATAATATAATATAATAATATAATATAATATTATAATATAATATAATATTATAATATAATATAATATAATAATATAATATAATATAATATAATAATAATATAATATAATATAATAATATAATATAATATAATAATAATATAATATAATATAATATAATATAATAATATAATATAATATTATAATATAATATAATAATAATATAATATAATATAATAATATAATATAATATAATAATAATATAATATAATAATATAATATAATATAATAATATAATATAATAATATAATATAATATAATATAATATAATAATAATATAATATAATATAATAATATAATATAATATAATAATATAATATAATATAATAATAATATAATATAATATAATAATATAATATAATATAATATAATATAATAATAATATAATATAATAATATAATATAATATAATATAATATAATAATAATATAATATAATAATATAATATAATATAATATAATATAATAATATAATATATATAAAATATTTTTGTGATGTTGGATAGCTTTGCTTGTCACTTTTGCTATATCAAGCGAAAGCTTGTTATCACTTCCTAAAATGCTCATCATATTTGAGATTTCATAGATGCCAGTACTAGTAGTAATGCCTTCCAATAATATCCGCACTAGTAATACTTGTTCAAATAATAATCGCCAAATAGTATAATGATCAGAAGAGAATCATAATCCGTATAATAGTAGAGTAGTGAGAATGAACGTATAGCAATAGTGGATAGACAAGAAGAGTGAACAACAATCCATATAGTAGTAGAGTATAAAGGAGGAATAGTGATTGTATAGTCATCACACTACTTCATATTTATTCATTTCCTTTATGATCATGTGACCTATTTAATAATGGAATTGTCCGTGTTACTCTCTGGCGATCTAGTTTCAAACCACAGTGTCGGCAACAACACTTACTCTTATACAACAAATATATATAATAAAATATAATAATATAAAATATATGATAAAATATATATAAAATAATATAATAAAATATATATAATAAAATATAATAATATAAAATATATATAAAATAATATAATAAAATAATAATAAAATGTAATATTATAATATAATAATATAAAATATATAATAAAATATAAAATAATATAATAAAATAATAAAATATAAATGCAATGAGTAAAAACCTCAAGAGTATCAGTTAACTATTTATTTTTTATTAATTTCTTTTTATAGTCATGTTGTAGTATAAAACTAAAATTTTTCATTCTACTAAGTTTTTTAAAGCCTATAGAATAAAAAAGAAATTATATTCATAAACTATTGGTCATATATGGTTAAGGATAATTTATATTTAAACATTTTTACTCAGATTCTTTTTGAGAACTTCTACTTTGTGGCATAGACAGCCAAGAAGATCTTTCCCCAATTGCTACAATCATAACCTCTTTGTCAACTATTATCTATCCTACAATTCCTCATAAATTGCACTTACTTTCTCCACTTACATCCATGCAGCAACCTCATTCAGTAATCCTCTACCTTGAGAGGCTCTTGGACCTTGTACTGGGTGAACATTTATTAAAAAAAGCATAAACAATACCAGTATCTAGATTCTAGTAGTTGTTGGCCTCTGTACTTAATTCAGTTTTTTGTGCCTTTTTTAAAAAGCGGGTGACAGTAGAAAACTACGGTCGTTGATCTATGACCTTGATGACAGCTCACAGGCTACCGTGTGTAAATAAATGTTACTTTCACTATGTTTTAAATAAAAATGAACTATTATTTTTACCAAAATTTACTTAATTAATCATTAAATTTATTGACTTACTTTGAAAAGAAATCCCCATGACAAATTTTTTATTTTTTTATAGATTTTTAAATTTGTTGTTTACATTTTTTGTCAATAATCGTAGTTCTATGAATGATCATACCAATGTTTTAAAAATGTCTAAGAACTAAAAACCCTATTTAAATATGAAAAATTATAGCTTTAGGCTATCATCTTTTTAAAAAAAATAAGAAGACATTTAAATTATTTAAAATCTGTTTTTCAGTTTTATTTTTTTTATAGTGATACAAGTTACTTGACTATCAAAATATTTTGCTGATATGACGTCACATGACATTATTAGTGTATATGGTCATCAGGGAAAAAACATTTTTCACTGAAATTTTTAAAATAGCAACAGTAATAAATAAATAAATAAACTGGCCCAGTACCAAAAAAGCATAAAAGGCAATATCTCTTTCCAAAATACAAATTTTGTTGCTCTTAAGAATCTCAGCTCAAAGTTATCTCTATCTTGGCAAAGTTGTTTAGTCACTGCCTAAAGAAATGTTTCCTACTTCTATAGAAAGTGACAGGTGTTTTCCATGTCTTCAAGAATGTTGATGGACACTCATCCCTGCCTCAATAT